ATCGTCACAGTGTTGCATTTCGCACCCATTACCAAACATTCGAAACCTGGGATAGTCTGGGAAACTATATATTCGGGATGGTGCGTTTGGATCGCATCCGAAACATAACCGTTCCAGCCAATCCAAAAACGATGTCCAGACGATTTGCCCTGACCAGGGATGTGCACGATGCTGCTGTCTAAAAAACCACGGGAGAATCGCCATACCCCACGACGGGGAGGATGGAGGAGAAATCGGAATAGCAGGAGAAAGAGGAGGAGGAGGAGGAGGAGGAGGAGGAGGAGGAGGAGGAGGAGGAGGAGGAAGAGGACTATGAGGAGAATGGGTGGGGGAGGACGGAGGAACTTGGAAGAGGAAGAGACGAATGTGAGGAAGGGGAAGAGGACAGGGACCAGATGCCTCTTGTATTCCTCTTTGAGTCTCTCCGGATCTCTTCCGTCAGTTCCTTGGAGTGCTCTTGGGGTGTCTTGGGGGTCTTTTGGCAGTTTCGGAAGCACCTTTGAGCGTCTTTGGTGCCTGTGTTGAGCCTCTGGGTCCCTCTTGACTTCTCTTGGAAAAAAAAGGCCTCTTGGGAGCCTCTTGGGGCCCCGTGGGCACCTCTCGAAACCATCTTGGGGCACCTTTGGGACATCTTCGGGCGATCTTGGAGGAGATCGGTCACAGGAGGGGCCGTAGTACATTAGGCCCCACCCCCATCCAGGAGGCCACCGTGTGGCCAACACCCGAATTTCATCAATGAACGTTGCCTTCTCGACGAGGCTTCTTGGGGCGTCTTGTGAGCCTTCTGGGGGCCTTTCGGGGCCTCTTGAGGGTCTGTTGGGGGCATCTTGGGAGCCTCTTGGGGGCCTCTTGTGTCCTCTTGGGGCCTCCTGGGCACCTCGCGGGGCCGTCTTGGGGCACCTTCGGGGCATCTTGGGGCTACGTATATTGATCACAGGAGGGGCCGTAATACAGTAGAAGCTCCCTCCAGGAGGCCAACATGTGGCCACAGCCTGATGATTTCTGCCCTCTCGCCAAGGCCTCGTGGGGCGTCTTCGGTGCCTTTGGGGGGGGGCCTCTCGGGGCATTTAGAGGGTCTTTGGGGAGCCTCTTGGGGGCATCTTGGGGGCCTCGTGGGGCCTCTAAGGGGCCTCCTGGGCGCCTCGCGGGGCCGTCTTGGGGCACCCTTGTGAGCCTCGGGGACGATCTTTGGGCCATCTTGGATGAGGCCGATCAGAGGAGGGAGGCTCCTGCAAAAGGATAGCCCCCCAGGAGGCCAACATGTGGCCAACACCTGTAACTACAATCAGTGACCATGCCTTCTCGTCTAGGCCTCTGGGCGTCTTGGGTGTCTCTGGGGTGCCCCTCGGGGGTCTCTTGGGAGCCTCTGGGGGGGCATCTTGGGGGCTTGTTGGGGCCTCGTGGATCCTCCTGTGCACCTCTTGTGGCCGTGTTGGGCCAATCTTGGGAGCCTCGGGGGCCAACTTGGAGGAGATCGATCACTGGAGGTGGGCTCCTCAATTACGCCCCCCCAGGAGGCCAACATGTGGCCAAAATCTTTCTAGTCAAATCGATGATTTTGGCTACTTCCTCGCCAAGACCATCTTGGACGACGCTCCAGACCCTCGCGGAAGGCCCCTTCCACGTCCAGGGGAGGGGGTAGGGGGAGAAGTCAATACACCCACCCGCCCGCAAGCCGACTAGCTCACTCGCACCCGCCCTCCTTACACATGAGTAACGCCCGAGCCTGAGCATGTTCAGCGGTCGTCTTTGGATGGACAGCTACTGGGAACCAAAGCCGACCCCAGTTGCGCGACGTTTGGGCGAGGTGCGCCACGCGTGCCAGGGGCGCCACGCGCGCCAGGTACCCCTGGGGCCCGAGCGTGCCAGGCACGCCTGGTGCGCCAGATGCGCCATGTGCTCCGAGTGCGCCAGGTGTGCCGCACACTCCAGTCGCGCCAAGTGCGCCTCGTTCGGGGCACGGGCAGAGTGCATCAGGTGCGCCTGCGCACGTGACAGCACACATCGGGAAGCATTTCGGCCCCCGCCATCTTCGTCGAAAACAGATGCCCATCATTTTGTCTGGTGGGCCTGCGCACAGGCCGCGCGCCACCACCCCGCCGTCCCTGTCAAAAAACACTGGACAGTGATCGCGGGATGACCACGCATGATCCAGATTTAGCCGCGAGGTGCATATTGTGTTGTTTCTTTTTTGTCAGGGAATCTGCTGACACCCAAGGGCAGGGAGTCTGCAGGGAATCTGCTGACACCCCCGCCGTCCTTGCCAAAAACAATACGAAGTGCTCGCGGGCCTCACGAACACGACTCAAGATTTTGCCCCAAAGTGTACTTTGCATTGATTTTTGACAGGGCATCGGGTTGGCCGCGCATGCTCCACATGTGGAGGCAGAGTGCGGTTTGTATTGTTTTTTGACAGGGATGGTCGGGGGCGGGTGGGCATGATGTCGGCATGGTGCCTGGTTGGCCCCCGGTCGCCTGGGGAAGAGGGTGCATATTGGAACAGTGATTACCCCCTGCCCGAAGGGGAAGAAGGGGGGGTGACAGAAGAAACGCTTTAAACCACTCACGCTCTAACGGGCGGGTGGGATTCAAACGATTTGAAGGAGTTCCCCTTTCCTTCTTCCCACCCCGTACCCTCCCCGGCCCCCCGCCCCCCATGACACTCACACCCTACTGCTCCTGCTCCGTCTCCCCTTTCTTCTCGCCGTTCCCCCCCTCCTCGCCCCCCCCCTCCTCCTGCAGCCACTTCTTCCCGGCCACTCCCTACACCCCCCCCTACTCCCACTCCTCGCTCTCCTCCCCGTGCCCGTGTCCTCCCCCTCCTCGCCGGCGCGCACCGCCTCCGCCCGCGCCCCGCCTCGCCAGCGCGTGGCCCGCCCGCTCGCCCGCTGAGGCCCGCGAGGCCGCGAGTCTCGCGGCTCGCCCGTCCGCGCGAGGGCCCGCCCGCCTCCCCGCGCCGCCCGCCCGCCGGGGCCCGCCCGACGCGCCAGGCCCGCCCGTGGGGGGCCGGCCCGCCGCCTGCCCGTCAGTGGGAGGTTTTGATAGACCTCCTGCCCGGACGCGTCGATCCGCGAATGGGCCGTTTTCGGTTCGCGAGGAGGCCCCCAAGATGGCCCCAAGGTGGCCCCGAGAGGCCCAAGAGGCCCCCAGGAGGCCCCAAAGAGGATCCCGAACGGCCCACAGAGGCCCCCCCGAGGCACCCAAGACGCCGAAAAGCCCCTCAGGACGACCCTCTACTCGCCTGGGCGTCGTTTCTGGACGGGCTGGTGGGGATACGCGAAGCGTCTAGAATTGGCCGTTTTCGGTTCGCGAGAGGCCATCCTGGTCTCTCTGAGGCCCTTTTTGGGCAACCTCGGGCCATATTTTGTGCGCTCCAATGAGTCGCGCCCTCCTCCCTTCCGGGTCCATGGAAGGGGGGGTTCGGGGGAGGAGCGAACCCCTTCCCCGAGCAGGGGAGGGAGGGATTCTGGCAGAGAGAGGACACCTTCGGGGTTGGATAGACCTCCTGCCCTGACGCGTCGATCAGCGTATGGGCCGTTTTCGGTTCGCGAGAGGGCGTCGCGCGGCCGTCATTTTTGCGGGTCCAGGCCCGTCGGTGTCGAACCCAGGCCTGTTTCGTTGAAGGGAGCTTCACTCAAGGGAGGTGTGTTCACCGCCGAGTCAGGATCCGCTCGCCCACCGGGGAGCGCCTGCCCGGCAGAGTCGGGTGCGCCAGCGCGGCGGTCCACGGCAGGGTCGAGTGCGAGGGGGGTCCTCGGCGGAGCGGTCCTCTCTCTGCCCGCCCTGCTCCCCCAAGGCACGCCCGAAGCTGGCCAGCCGCGCGCGCGCGCGTCCGCGCGCCCCCGTCCCGCGAGCGAGGCCTGGCGGCAGCGCTGCTCGCAGCGTTTCCGCAACGTCCTCGACATGGTCGCCAAGAAGGCCCGCCCGGCCTCCGCCCCACGGGGAAAGCGAAGGCGCAAACTGCGACGGACGGGAGGCCGACGGGTACGGGTAAAGGGGGCCTCCTCCTCCCTCCTCCTCCCTCCTCCTCCCTCCTCCTCCCTCCTCCTCCCTCCTCCTCCTCCTCCCTCCTCCTCCTCCTCCTCCTCCTCCTCCCCCTCCTCCTCCTCCTCCCTCCTCCTCCCTCCTCCTCCGAGCCCGCTCCGAGCCCTGAGGCTGTCAGATCAGAAGCAGCCCGCGTTGAAAAAGAAGCCCCCGGGGAAGTGAAAAGTCGAGAGTTGAGTGAAACAAAAACACCCCGACCCCGACCCCGAGTGAAGAGACCCCTTAGCGTTTACGAAACGGCCCTTCTGCTCGATTCCTCCTCCCCTCTCCTCCTCCTCCTCTCCTCCTCCTCCTCCTCCTCCTCTCCTCCTCCTCCTCCATCCTTCCTCCTCCTCCCCCTCCTCCCCCTCCTCCTCCTCCTCCTCCTCCTCCCTCCCCCTCCTCCGAGCCCGTTCCGAGCCCTGAGGCTGTCAGATCAGAAGCAGCCCGCGTTTCAAAAAAAAACACGCCCCCGGGGAGTGAGTCGAGAGTCGAGTGAACAAATTGGTGGACCCCAAACGTGGTGGTGAGAACACCCGCCGGTGGTGAGTTTTGGGCGATTTGGGTAATGGTTTTCGAGCGCTGGCTGGCCCAGGAAACGCAAAACCTCGTGGCGACCGCGTGTCCCCAAACCCGGTGGTGACCCAGAATTATTTCTTTGGGGAATCGGGGTCACCACCGGGTGTCTCACCACCTGGTTTGGAGAGCACCAAACAAAAAGCACCCCGACCCCGACGAGTGGCGTTTACCAAGCGACCCTTGGCGTTTACGAAGCGGCCCTGCCCTGCTCGATTCCCCCGTTTGGGTGCGTTTCACACACGGCTCCGCTCGTCGGAAATGCTTCTTCTGGGGGCGGAGTTTGCTGCTCTCCAGAGAGTGCCAGGAGAACGCCGTGAAGCAGACAGCACCCCGAAGGTCTGGGCGCCCACCGCTCTTGAGCCTCCGCGTGGGCCCAAGGTTGGCCCCCGGGTCCAGTGTGGCGGTCGGGCTCCCGGCCTGGCAGGGAGGCCATGGTCCACCCATCGAAGAAGAAGAAGAAACGCCGTAAACAGAAGCCTTCGGCGCTCCGCGCGGATTTCTCGGATCCGCGCTGGACCCCTCTCCCTGGCGCGCGGATCGCGCCGCGGGCGGCGCCGGAGGCGCCGCCAGGGGGGCCAGCGCGGATCCAAGAAATCCGCGCGGAGCGCCAACAGTTTATGTTTGTGGCGTTGTTTCTTCTTCTAACCCAGGCGCGTGCTCTCTAGGCCTCTAGATAGGGTCCGAGTATATGGGGTCGGGGGATCGCGCCACATCGCCGATGCATCGACGAGTTCGATGTGGAGCCCGCGTTTACCCACGCCGACGTCGCCGATGAGTCGCCGATGTCGCCGATGCATCGCTGATGCACCGCAGATACATCGGCGATGCATTGGCGATGCGGCGCGATCCTTCGACCCCCTCTACTCGGACCCTTTCTAGGAGGCCTCCAGAGCTGGAGGAGGAGGAGGAGGAGGAGGAGGAGGAGGAGGAGGAGGAGCAGAGCTGAGGGGAGGAGGAGGAGGAGGGAGGAGGAGGAGGACGAGGAGGAGAGGAGGAGGGAGGAGGAGGAAGAGGAGGAGGAGGAGGAGGAGGAGGAGGAGGAGGAGGAGGAGGAGAGGAGGAGGAGGTAGGAGGAGGGGAGGAGGAGGAGGAGGGGAGGAGGGGGGAGGAGGAGGAGGAGTGGAGGAGGAGGAAGGAGGGGGGAGGAGGAGGAGGAGGAGGGGGAGAGGAGGAGGAGGAGGAGGAGGAGGAGGAGGAGGAGGAGGAGGAGGAGGAGGAGGAGGAGGAGGAGAGGAGGAGGAGGAGGAGAGGCAGGAGGAGGAGGAGGAGGAGGAGGAGGAGGAGGAGGAGGAGGGCGAGGAGGAGGAGGAGGAGGGGGGGAGGGGAGGGGAGGAGGAGGGGGAGGAGGAGGAGGAGGAGGAGGAGGAGAAGGAGGAGGGGGAGGAGGAGGAGGAGGAGGAGAGGAGGAGGAGGAGGTGGTGAGGGAGGAGGAGGAGGAGGAGAGGAGGAGGAGGTGGAGGAGGAGGGAGGAGGAAGGAGGAGAGGGGGAGGAGGCCTCTATGCTCGGGGCCAGGCGGGGGGCGCGCCCCTTGGGGGGGGAGCCTGCCCGTGGGGAATGATGCCGCGGGGCAGCGCAGCTCGCGGAGCGAGCCGCTACCGTCTCGCCTCTTCCTGAGGCGCCCGCGCGGCCTGGGCGCCCTCCGGGCGCATTCGACGCCCGCGACTTTTGCGCTCACATCCCCCTCCTTCCCCCTCCCCCCCTCCTCCTCCTCCTCCTCCTCCTCCTCCTCTTCCTCCTCCTCCTCCTCCTCCTCGTCCTCTAACTCGATTAACTGACACCCTCCTTCATCAGGACTGCGCGTCCCCGATCCGTCGGCAATCCAAGATGCTTCCCTCTCCCCGCCGCCGCCGTCCCGGAAAGCGGTCGGACCGAGGCATGAAGAGCGAGGTCGGCTCGGGGAGGGTGCCTTCCTGTCCTTCGCGTCCGTCGGGTGTTCTTGCGCATTCTGGGGGAGGGCACTCCCTTGGACGTCTTGTGCGTTCTGGTCGGCGGAGGATCCCATGTTCTCGCGGGCTGCTCGTCTAGCGAAGGTTTAAGTCGGGCCTGTCCCCCTGCAGGGTGATTTTGGCCGAAAATATAAGATTTTGTTTTAATACCCCAAGTAGTCAACACATGCTCAAAGAATAGTCTCCAGGCTATGGCGCCGTTCCCCTCTTCCTGGCGTGCGGAGCGCGCGGGGGGCGTCGCCGGGTGCGCCTCAGGGGGTCCAGCACCGATCCAAGAGATTCGCGCGGACTGCCGCAAGTGTTTGTTTCATGCCAGGGTTCGAGTGAGTAGGAGATCGACTACAGAATTTATCTACCCCAGAATCTGTGTGCTCGTCGAAGATACGACACATGCGTAGAATTCTCGCGGATCTGCGACCAGATTACGCACTTATCGTAGACTCGGCAGGAAAACGACTTTTGGGGTACAGTGGAGGCCCATGCCAAGAAACACCTTGCTTGCCTCCAGGGTGCCCTGGTTTTCTGGGGTGTTGATGGTGTTGCGATGGAAAGCGTGACGTTCCCACACCAAGAACCCATGGACGTCCTGGGGTCGCAGGGCTGGGCTTCTAGTGGACGGTTTCCTGTGGACTGGCCTCCACCGTAACTGAATGCTGTAGTCGATTCGATCTCCTACTCGAGGAGCCTGCCCTTCTGTAGAAGAGGCTGCCCCGCCCGCCCCGGCCCCTGCCGCGCGCGCGCGCCTGAGGAGCTCTGCGGGCGCGCATCGGACACACAGCGGGGGGGGGGCGCCTCCGGCGAGGCGCGGCTGTCAGGCCAGGGCCTGGCCCCCGAGCTCAAGCAGTGGCGAAGCGTCCTGGCTCGCCTACAGGCCCACCAAAGAATGTTCTCCGAACCTTTTGTGGTCTGCGCGAAATGTTCTTGGACATGTCTGGTTAAGACTGCCTTGTTTTAACACATCGGGCTTGTATATGCTCTAAAAACATTGTTTATGTTATTCGAGCATGTTTGGGTTTCAAGAACATGTCGTGGTAGGCATATAGGAATGCTGGGACGGTCGGTCCGTGCTCAACGAGTCTCACCATCCACCAAACCACCCCAACCCAACCCGAAGGCTTCAGTTTGCCCTCCCTTGCCAGTGGGGGGGTCGGGGATTTGTGGGAAAACACATAGGGAACCCGCACCCCCCCCCCCAACCCGATATTTCGGGTCGTCGGGTTGGGTCGGGTTTTGGCCTCCGAATTAGGGGAACGCGCAATGACACAAACATAAAACTGGGAGGCCCGCGCGGATTTCTCGGATCGGCGCTGGGGCCCCCTGGCGACGCCTCTGGCGCCGCCCCTGGCGCGCTCCGCGCGCCAGGGAAGGGGGGTCCAGCGCCGATCCGAGCAATCCGCGCTGACCTCCGAGTTTTTTTATGGTTATGTCACTGTTTGTGCCCATGCACTGTTGCTCCACGCTCCGCCCCCCCCGGTGATCATCGCTGTTGCTGGTGTCGTGTCGATGCTCGCAGGTGCTGCGCCGCCTGCATGCTCCTCCTCCTTCTCCTGCTCCTCCTCCTTCTCCTCCTGTCATTGGTGCTGGCTGGTCGGCTTTCCTTTCTCTGCCCTCGTCGCCGTCATGCTACTCCTCGTGTGCGCCGCACACCTCCACATCCTCTCATTCCTTCGGTTGCTGCTCCTCCTCGTCATCGTCATCATCATCACCACCCTGCTGCCTATCTTGATCTTCCAGATTATCCGGCTCCTGGTGCTGCTGCTCCTCCTCCTCCTCCTCCTCTTCCCCCTCTTGCTTCTTCTCCCCCTCCTCCTCCTCCTCAAACTCCTCAAACTCCTCCTCCTCATCCTACTCGTCCTCCTCCTCCTCCTCCTCTTCCTCCTCCACCCCCACGAGGCGGACCATAGCGTGCTGCGCCTGCTACAGATCTCCCAGCAGCACATCGAGTCCCAGCTGGAGAGAGTTAAGCACGAGCGCGAGCTGTGGAAGGAGGCCCGCACCAAACAGGGATGTGGGGCCCGCTCCCCTTGCTACCCCGAGGCGGAGGAGGGGTGAGAAACGGAGGAGGAACAAGAAGACGAGCAGGTGGAGGAGGAGGAGGACAGCAGAGGAAGTCGAGGACAGGAGAGGAGGAGAGGAGGAGGGTGAGGAGGAGAAGAATGACGAGGAGAAAGAGGAGAAAGAAGAGAGACGAAAGGAGGATGAGAAGGAGGAGGAAAAGGCGGGAGAGGAGGAGGAGGAGGAAGACGAAGCGCGACGAAAGGACAAGGAGTTGGAGGAGGAGGGATGGTCGATGAGGGGGAGGAGAGGCGCGATAAAGTGATCAGGAGAGGACGAGGAGGCGAAGGAGGAGGAAGAGGAGGAGGATGACCAGTGCAAACCCAAGCATCACCAACGATGTGGGAATAACCCCCCCCCTCCAAGCTCCCTCTTCATAGGCTCGTACAGCGGTTTATCTCCACTGAGGGAGCTGCCTCATCGGAAGACTACCGTTTGAAGATTCTGAAGCGTGTCGAAACAGGTTTCCTGGGAATTCAACCCATATCAACCTGGCTGTTGTGTCTTGACGACCCTGAATCGTGCAAGAACGCCATTCCTGGGACTTCAAGACCGCGAACCAACGTATCTGTTACACCCGCATAATCTTCAATATTTTCAACACGCCATTTCTGGTACGTTGGTTATGGGAATCCGTGAAACTCTTGTAATAAGTTTTAAAAACGAATGTGCTCGGCGTTAAGGCGAGAATCACATCTTGAGAAGGAGCCGCCCTCAATCCGTGAACCTCTTGCAACATTTGTAACGAATGTGCGTGGCGCTCAGGCGAGAGCCACATTTTGAAAACCACCCGCCTTCCATCAGTGAAACTGTTGCCACTTTGTAAGCTTCAGGGTCATAATTGGTCAGGAAGTCTCAGGCGAAACGCCCGGCCCGCCCTGAAAACTGGCCTCGAGGTGCGACAGGGAGAAGTTTTTGATAAGGAGAAAAAAGGGAGGAGGAGGAGGCAGGCTTTTCTCGACCTGGGGCCCGTTCGGCCGTCCTCCCTGCTCTGGGCCCTCCACCTCCGGGCCTCCCTCACGCTTCGCCTGCCGCCTTCGCCCCCCGACGTCACGACTTGTTCTTCACGCCGACCCCCAGGGACCCGTTTTTTCGCTGAGCCGTCTTTGGACTGTCTCGAGGCCCGTTACGGGCCACAAGGAGGCAGAACGTACAGTGGAGACCCATGCCAAGAAACACCCTGCTTGCCTCCAGGGTGCCCCGGGTTTCTTGGGCTTCGATGGTTCTGCCATGGAAGGCGTGACGTTCCCACGCCAAAAGTCGATGGGCGTCCTGGGGTCTCAGGGTGGGGCTTCTTGTGGAAGGCTTCGTGTGGAGCAGCCTCCACTGTAGGGAGACACCTGCTGCCGTGATTCTGTTGTGACCCGAGGGGGTCTGGGATCCTCGGCCTTCCGCCCGCGGGGGGGGGGGCTGCGCGGGGAGGTGGTCGAGCGCCGCCAGCAGCAGCCGATGCAGCTGGCGCTCGGCGCCAAGGACCCCATGCAGCAGCGCGGGCCCCGGGCGGTCACCGCCGGCGGCGTCGCCGCCGTCGCCGGCGGCGGGGTCGGGGAGGATCGGACGGGGTTGGGACGGGGATAAGCCTGTTCCAGAGCTTTCTGTCAAGCAGTGGCGAAGCGGCCTGGCTTGCCTACAGGCCCACCACAGGCCGTTCTAAGAACCTCTCAGTCTTGTGGCGTGGACGACATGTTCTTTGAGCACTTCTGGCTGCGACTGTTTTGCTTCAATACATCAGCTCTATGTTTTTTGTTTGCGTATGCGCGCCCCTCGTCGTGTTGCTTGGAAAGAACCGTGTAATTAACAAACTTATGAACTATTTTGCGTCACCATGCATTCACACAATGCACATCCCTTCAAGCGCCATGTCCAAGGCAGCGCCCTCTGCATGAACGGCCGAACGCGAAGATTACATGAAATTGCCGAGCACGCCCGTCTGCACAGACTCGAAGCCCGTCGGAGTTTTGACCACCAAGATGAAAGCAGACGCCCTTGCAACAGCACCATGAACGAAGCCCCCGTCAGTGAACACCTGGATCCCAACGGCTCGTGGCATTTCTGAACGCAGCTGGGGAATATTCAACGTGTTAGAGTTTATCTCGCGCGCCAAGACGCAGTTTGCCACGTGGTCTGCTGCGGCATTGTACTCCCGTGGGCGCCAATCCACTGGATCGAGGGATCCCCCTTTTGTAGTCGTAAGTGCTGCTGCTGTATGAATCACACAAGCGTGTCCGGATCCTGTCCAGAGCTGCCCGGAAGAGCTCTTTGTTCACCTGCATAATGCCGTTGGCAATTTCTGCAAGGACTTGATTTCCCACCACGAACTCTAATTGTGGTTTACAACATTCTGGGTCCCACAACTCGTCCCGGCCGAGCTCCAGCGGGGAGGGCATCCGATATCCTACGTCTGCGTTTTCAGTTTCTTCGGCTGCGGCGGCACCGCGACATTCGAAGTGTCATCAGCATCTGCTGGAATCGGCATACCGAAAGCCACGCAAGCGTCCCTCACAAAGGCATCTTTTCCTTGCATCCAAACTTCCAGGCACGCACACTGCTCGAATATGTCTCCCCAGTTGTCGCCCCAAGTGGTCTGAAACATGGCGTCCTCTATGCGCTGACGACCTGGGTGCCTGTGAAGCCCGAGATGCACGCGATGTGTTGCAGGAGCACATTTAACTGTATTCCACCATCGGCTTGCTCGCGATATGCTGCACGAAGAATGACATAAAAATGTAATCTCGGAGGTCTGCGCGGATTTCTCGCTGGACCCCCTTGGCGGCGCCTCCGGCGCCGCCCTTGGCGCGCTCCGCGCACCATGGAGGGGTCCAATGCGGATCCAAGAATCCGCGCGGACCTATGTTTATGTTATTTTTCGTTCCCTTGGGATTTGGTTGCGCACGTCCCAGGCCCTGAATCGTGGCGTCCTGGTACCATTTTGCCTGCGCCCGCCCGCTTCGTACGTTCGGAAGACCAGCGCATGTCTGACTCTATCACTCTGGACCTCCCCAAATGGGGTCCGAGTACGTAGGTTGGGTCGAAGGATTGCTCCGCATCGCCGATGCATCGGCGATGCGGCTTGATGTGGATCCTGTTTTATTTCACGTCGACGTCACCGATGCATCGGCGAATGCGTCGCCGATGCATCGCCCATTTATTGCCGATGTATCGCCGAGGCGTCGTTGATGCGGCGTGATCCCCCGACCCCGTCTGCTCGGACCCCACTTGCGAGGCGCTCCAAGGCGCCGGCCCGGCTCCGCGCCCGCACCACGCGAGTCGCTCCTGCTGGGCCGGCGGACAGTCATGGCCAGGGTTTTGGGCGCCGCGTAATGGGGGGGGGTCATAAATGGGGGGGTGTCGCGGGTGGTCCGAAAAAAGGTACCCAAAACGGTATACCTAAACGAGCCCCGGGGCTCCGGAGGGGCCCGACAGGGGCACGAAAGGGGGCCTTTTCTGACCCCCCCATTTGTGACCCCCCCCATTAAGCCACGCCCAACGGTGGTTGAAAGTAGGTATTTTTGGATTCCCGGATTCCTATCTGTTTTCAGCGCCCTCCTACTTGAGTGCTCGAGTGGCTTCACCTCGTCCGTCCTCCCAGGGGGGCGGACGGAACCCAATCTACTATCAACGCCATTCTACTATCTACAATCTACTGTGACCCCCCCCCATTAAGCCACGCCCAAGGGTTGCAGCACGAGCTCCACCAAGCTCGTGGCGCGGGCACCGCCTGCGAGGCTCCCCTGCCCTCCGCTCGCCCCTGGCCGCACGCGGCGCAGGCCGGGCGCGGCCCTCGGGCCCATCGGGCCCCAGGAGGAGGCGGAGGAGGAGGAGGAGGAGGAGGAGGAGGAGGGGAGGAGGGGGCGAGGAGGAGGAGGAGGAGGAGGAGGAGGAGGAGGAGGAGGAGGAGGGGAGAGAACACACAGAGACAAGTAATCTTCGATTCCCCAGAAAATCTGCGAAAATATGGGCAGTGGGGGGGAAGACAGAAGCCCAGAAAACATGGAAACATATGGGGGAGATGTTTATTTGTGTGTATTTCTTTGTGTGTCCTTGGGCCCCTTCACGTGTGGCCCCCTTCCGGCTCGGGCGGCCCGGTCCCCGCGGAGGCCCCGGCCGCCTGCCCCGCACCGGCCTGGTGCGGCCCCTCGGCTGGCCGGCGCCAACAGTACCCATCGGTCTTGGGCGCTGCGTAATGGGGGGGTCATAAATGGGGGGGTGGCGAGGGTGGTTCGAAAAGGTACCCAATCGGTACCTAAACGAGCCCCCTGGGGCTCTGGAGGGGCCCGAGAGGGGCACGAAAGGGGACCTTTTCTGACCCCCCCATTTGTGACCCCCCCATTCAGCCACGCCCAACGGTGGTTGAAAGTAGGTATTTTTGGATTCCCGGATTCCTATCTGTTTTCAGCGCCCTCCTACTTGAGAATACTCGAGTGGCTTCACCTCGTCCGTCCTCCCAGGGGGGCGGACGGAACCCAATCTACTATCAACGCCTTCCTGCTTCATGTTTCTACCTACTTCTTCCGACCGATGGGTACGCCGACACCGCCCGCCGAGCCTATCGGGCCCGATCCCGACTGGCCAGGATCAGTGCTTCGGAGGCCTGGAGGTTGGCACCTACACTGGCGGTGTGCCTCCACGGAGTGAAGATGATCGCGATCTCGGTGATAGTGGTAGTACTCGGGGGTGGCCAAGAGGGGGTTGATGACTACGGGGGGGTGGATATCATGGCGGGGGCTATGATATCTCTCCAGGTCTCATGGCTCTTCTGCATATTTCAATACGTCCCCGGCACCCCTCTGGGCCACGCGCATGCCGCCGGCCATGATTTGCGCGCCCCCCCTCATGGACGCCCCCGACAGATTCGCGCCTCATAGGTTCAGGAGCGAAGACGGACGTACACGCACATGAATTCACATTGGTTTCGAAAGCACGCATTGCGCGAACGTTCGTATCACTCGGCTGGTTTCGCGGACATTTGGTGCCGTATTCAGTTACGTGGCCTGGCGGTACTTCCTTTGTGGGCTCCCTATAGGTGGCCGAAAGATGACCACCAATACCAACATGCATGATATCCCTTCCCCCCGTGGAGGCAGACCCCTGTGTTGGTTCTGGTGCCCGCTTCCAAGCCTCCAAGTGCTGGTGTGTCTGCGCCTTGTTGGTGTCCTCCCCTGAGGTCCGAATCTGCGAACAACACTTGCGGCATCGCCAACAATCACCACTGGAGCCATGGACCCAACCTTTTCGGGGCATCTCTCGAGCCGGGTCGATCTGTAAGGGCTTTGGATCAGGGGTAGAGTTAAGTCGGGCCTGTCCCCCTACAGGGGGATGTTCGATGAAATTGTTCTTACAAAAAATACCCAAACTAGTCAAACAATAGTCCGAAAATAGTCTGGGTATTATTTTTTGTATATTGTTTGGCCTTTTTGGGGCATGTTTGAGTTGATTTTTATTCTTCGTCGAAAATCCCCCTGTAGGGGGACAGGCCCGACATAAGGGTAGAGATAAGGGGACATGGTGTTCAGGGGGGGATGCATCGATCCCCCAGCTGCCCATCCATCGCCCGTCGCCCAGGAGAACGTGCGGAGAGCTGGCAGGGGTGCCCATCGCCGATCGGTCGGTGATGCGTATGGCCAGTTCCAGGTCGACGCTTGCCCCCCTGGAGTCAGTCCCCCCCCCCTCTCGCTCCCCCTCACTGGGGTTAAGTCGGGCATGTCCCTCTACAGGACGAATTTTCAAAAGTAGTCGAATTCGGGAACGATTTATTTACCATCTCTGACAAGTTGGGAGGTACTTTTTGACTGGTTGGTTATCTTTCCCCAAAGCCGCCTGCAGGAGGACGTGCCCGACCTTCAATCGATCGGTGATGCATGGCCAATTCCAGGTCGACGCTTCCCCCCCGTGGAGCCCGCCCCCCCCCTCCCTCCCGCTCCCCCGCACCGGGGCCCGAAAACTGCGCCCAATGTTCAGGAGGGGAAAAAACCCACGGGCACAATGAATCGTCGATTCCCAGGAAGATGTGCGAACATATGGGAAGTGGGGGGGGAGACGAAAATTTAAAAAATATTGAAAATATGGGAAATCCTGGGATTTGTATGTATTTATCTAATCGCTTCGCTCATTCCGCCTGCCCTGGAGCCCTCTTTAGGGCCTCTTGGGGGCCTCTTGGGGACCTCTTGGAGTCTCTTGGGGCTCCTTGGCGGCGTCTTGGGGGCCCCTGCAGCCTCTTGGGGGGCTCTTGGAGACCTCTTGGGTCAGGAGGGGGTTAGTCGATTGCGCCCCTCCCCTCGGAAGCCACGATCCTCGTGAGGGGTGTCGAAAAATTGCCCGGTCTGGCATCTCTGATCCGAGTGTCCCGGGGGTCTCCCGGGGTACTTTTCGTCCGGGGACCCCCAGGGGCGGCCCCGCGCGCGCGAACCAGAATATCGTTAACCAGTTACCGGAGATCTTAGCACGCCCTTGGCCCATTGGGCCAGCGAATTTGTGTGCCCCTGGGCCCCTTCACGTGCGGGGAGGAGCAAGAGGAGGGGAGCAAGGGGAGGGGAGCAAGGGGGGGGGGAGGAGGAGGAGGAGGAGGGGAGGAGGAGGAGGAGGAGGAGGAGGAGGAGGAGGAGGAGGAGAGGAGGAGGAGGAGGAGGAGGAGAGGAGGAGGAGGAGGAGGAGGAGGAGGAGGAGGAGGAGGAGGAGGAGGAGGAGGAGGGAGGAGGAGGGGAGAGGAGGAGGAGGAGGAGAGGACAGGAGGAGGAGGAGGAGGAGGAGAGCAGGAGGAGGAGGAGGAGAGGAGGAGGAGGAGGAGCAGGAGGGGGGAGGAGGAGGAGGAGAAGAAGGAGGAGGAGGAGGAGGAGAGGAGCTCCGGAGCTCCGAGGAGGAGGAGGGGGGGCGCAATCGAGCTCCGGAGCTCCGGGGAGGAGGAGCTCCGAGGAGAGGAGGAGGAGGTGGAAAAATATGGGGAATCCTGGGATTTGTTGTGTGTGGGAAGGAGGTGGAAGGAGGGAGGAGGTGGAGGAGGTGGAGGGCTGGGAGGAGGTGGAGGAGTGGAGGAGGTGGGAGGAGGTGGAAATCGGTGGAAGAGGTGGGAGAGGTGGAGGAGGTGGAGGAGGTGGGAGGAGCTCCTGAGGAGGAGGAGGAGGAGGTGGAAAAAGATGGGGAATCTTCGGATTTTTGTGTGTACTTATTTGCGTGCCCCTGGGCCCCTTCAAGTGCGGCCAGGCCGCGGCGCCCGGCTCTCGGGAGCTCCGCCGCGCCCGCGCGACCCGCGCGCCATGGCGCCGCTGCTCGCGCGGCACGGCTGGGGGCTCGCGGGGGTGCCGCCCGCCCACGGCGGCTGCTGTGCGCTGAGAGCCTCCATCCTCTCCTCCTCACCATCCTCCTGCCTCCTCCTCCTCCTCCTCCTCCTCCTTCCTCCTCCTCACCTCCTCACCATCCTCCTCACCATCCTCCTGCTCCTCATCCTCCTCCTCCTCCTCCTCCTCCTCCTCCTCCTCCTCCTCCTCACCATCCTCCTCCTCCCCCTCCACTCCCTCCTCATCCCCCTCCTCCTCGGAGCTCCGGGCCGCCCCAAGTGAGGGCGGAGTTGGATAGGCCCAGGCATGATCGCGTCGTACCAAAAAGTCAGGGCGGGAGGTTTGGGGCAATTTTCGGCCCCGGGAGGCCCTCGCCGGGCCTCGGGAGCGTCGAAAAGCGACTCAGGACCGGAAACCGGTCCAGGGGAAAGGGTCGGGACTTGCAGGGACCGCGTACTGAAAAAATCAAGACGTCGCATGTTCGGGACTATCCACCCTGGCCTCAGTACGCTCCCCCTTCGGAGACGGGGCCGCAATGAGGCTGGAGCTGGGGCCCACGGGGGCCGCAATGCGGCCGATGCGTACGTACTCCATACTCCCTCTGGAGATGGGGCCGTGCATCGCCGATGCGGTGCGATCCTCCGACCCCCACGTGGGCGGTCTTCAGGACCAGGGCTCGAGCCAGGTGGTGTTTGGGTGATTTTCGTCTCGATCTGCAGCAGAGGCGGCACGAAGACAGAACGAAGGACGACGAGGTCAAACGAAGAGGACGAGCATTCTTTAGCTCGATCCCTGTCCAGGATCCCTCGGCCTGGGCCGCCGCCGCGGCTCCGCCGCGCGCCGGCCGCGGCGCCGCGCGCGCCGCGCGCGGGCGCGGCGCCGCCGCCGGCCTCCTCGGCCTCGGCTCCCGGGGCGAGCTTCCTCGGGGCCGGGGCCGCCGGCCAGCCGGCGGGCGGCCACGCCGCGGCGGGCCACCCCACGGCGGGCCACCCTGCGGCGGGCCACCCCGCCGCGGGCCAGCCGGCGGGCGGCCACCCGCGGCGGGCAACCCCGCCGCGGCGGGCCACCGGTGGGCGGGCCCCCCGCGGCGGGCCACCCGCGGCGGCCAGGCCACCCCGCGGCGGGCCACCCCGCGGCGGGCGCGCCCGCAGGGCCCCCGTGGCGGGCGCGCCCGCTGGGCACCCCGCGGCGGGCGCGCCCGCCGGCCATGCCGCGGCCGAGCCCGGGCGGCCTCTCACCCCAGAGGAGGAGCACAGGCAGAAGGTCGGGGGTTGCGGGAGGGGGGGCGACGAATGGCGCTGCGCTGCGTTGCCCGATGGCGGGTGCGTTTCGTGGCGCGGAGTGAGGAGATGTGCACTGCTGGTGCCCTAAATCGGCGGCGAGCGAGGGGGCAGTGAGAAGGAAATGGCCTTCTCGGAAGACAGCGGGACCTCTCAGAAGCCCTCGCGCCTCCTGAGAAGTTGTTGTGTCTTCGGGAAAGGCTTGGACAACTTTTCTGAAGGTTGCGGGACTTCCGAGCCTTCCTGGCTGCCTTCACCCCCCAGGCGCGCCGCCGGCGGAAGTTGAGTCGGGCGTGTCCCTCCACCGGGGAATGTTTGAAGAATAGTTAAACATCGGGCGAAGAGAACTATGCACATGCACCGATCCTGGCAAGGCCCATCCCTGACCCAGGATCGGTGCATATGCCTTTCTGGCCAAGGTAGGAGGGCGTATGCACCGATCCTGGGCTCAGGATGGGCCAGGCCAGAATCGGTGTATGTGCATAGTTCTTTTTCCTCTATAAACAAAGCCTGGGGACCCTTTGTCGACTATTTTGACCATGTTTCAGAACTGATTTGACAAGTATGTTTTCGCCCCAAATCCGCCTGCAGGAGGACATGCCCGACCTCAGACTGAAGGGGCACGAAAGGTGCACGTGTCTCTACCCCGCCATGTGTTATCGCCCACACGAGTGAAGCAGCGCCCGAGAGAAGGTTGCCGAGCGGGAGGCGCAGAAGGCCGCGCTGCGGGTGCAGATCCAGGCGCAGGATCGGGACGGCCGACTTCTGTGACGACGATTATGATGATGATGATGATGATGATGATGATGATGATGATGATGATGATGATGCTGATGCTGATGCTGATGCTGATGATGATGATGATGATGATGATGATGATGATGATGATGATGATGATGACGATGCTGATGCTGATGATGATGATGATGATGATGATGATGATGATGATGATGATGATGACGATGACGATGACGATGTCGATTGTGATAATGGTGACGATGATGACGATGACGTCGTCGCCATCGTCATCAGCATCAGCATCGTCATCGTCATCGTCACCATCATGGGTACGGTCCGACCGAGGTATAAGATCGAGGTTTGGTTCGGGAAGGGTGCCCTCATGTTTTTGTGATTGTTGGATGTTCGTGTGCATCCTGCGGAGGGCACCCTCGAGAGTTTTGTGTGTTTTGGCCGGTGGAGGGTCTCGCGTTCTAGAAAGATGCGAGTCTGTCCTATATCCAGCCTCGCGGACAAGGAATGCCCAGATCTCCTTCGAGACGATTTGTTTCATCCTGGCGGTGTTCCTTCGGTGTCGGCTCCTGCGGCTGGTTGAAGAGTGACCTTTCGCCGGAGTGACCTTTGGTGCGGGCACAGATGGGCCCCCAGATGGCTGAACGCGAAGCGGTAGCAGCGGCTAGCGCGCTTGGATTTGGCATCCCCGCGGCCCCCCCAAAGCCGCGCACCAAAGGTCACTCATACCCATGGTCACTCTTGCGTGTAGCCGAGGTTGTCGGGCCCCCGGCACAAACAAGAATGGATCCGCGGCGGAATCAGCCCCATAGGGAAGCGGTCGGGACCTCCCTGGGATCGCGGACTGCCAACAGCGGCGGATGCCAGGGCGGGTGCGAAGACCCGCAGCACGTCTTGTCCGCATCCTGTCGGCGTCGCTGCGGACGCCGTTCGCTTGGGGCAGAAGGCCGCCTGCCCAGCAGCGGCCGCAGCAATTCTGGGACAGCATGTGTGGCTGGTTTGGTGCCCGCTTTGTCCGTACCCACTCCGGCTTGGCATCGCTCGGGCGTGTGCGCTTTTCTCAGCGAAGGCAATCGAGGAGCATGCTGGACCGTCTTGCGAAACATAAGCGCACGAAGCCGAAACATGCACGGGGAGTGGACGTCCGAGCGATGGCAAAGGGGGCGCCCAAGCAGGAGGGCATCTACCAGCAGCAGCGCGGGGTGGAGCGGCACCACAACAGCGTCGAGGGTCAGATCGCCGCGCAGAGCGGCGTGATGTCGGCGCGCCTCACCGAGGGCCAAGAGCAGCTGGTGCAGCAGACGGCGCAGGAACAGCAGCTCCAACACGAGGCCATCACGAAGCAGGCCGAGGCTTTGAAGGAGAAGGAGCGCCTCCTGAAGGATCGGCGGCGAGCGAATGGGGGAAGTGAGAAGGCGGAAGCCTTCTCAGAAGGCGGTGGGACTTCTCAGAAGCCCCCGCGCCTTCTGAGCAGCTCCCTGCGTCTTCGGGGGAGGCTTGGAGAGCTTGTCGGAAGGCAGCGGAACTTCCGAGCCTGCCGAGAAGGCCTTGTCCTTCGCAGTCCCCCCCGGGCTTGCCGCCAAGAGGAGCTGAACGCTCTGATGGGTGATAGTCAAGTGGCTTATGCCATGCCGCCGACCTCCAGAAGGAGTCATAGAGACCATGTTGACCCTTTCGGGCCTTCTTGGAGGACGTCTTGGAGGGCTCTTGGGGCGTCTCGGAGGCCATCTTGAGCGTCTTGGAGGCCTCTTGTGCCGTCTTGGGGGCCTCTTGGGGCCGTCTTGGGCCTCTTGGGCGATCTTTGGGGGCACTTGAGCAGTCTCGGGCCGTCGGAAGGCCGAAAAAAAAAGCAAATGCCATAATCCTTCAAGAATTCATGGGAACACAATGATGCTGGCCTTTTCGGACCGTCGTGGAGACCCTCTTGGAGGCCTCTTGTGCCGTCTTGGGCCATCTTAGGGCCATCTTCGGCCGTCTTGGTGGGCTCCTGGCCCGTCTTACGCCGTCGGAAGCCGTTTAGGGGGCCTCTCTGGGCCAACTTCGGGCCCTTATGGTATGCTCCAGGGCCGTCTTGGAGGCCATTTTGGGCGTCTCAAAGGCCTCCTGGGCCGTCTTGGGGGCCTCTTAGGGCAGTCGTGGGGGCCTCTTGGGCCGTTCTAGGGCCATCTTGGAGGCCTCTTGGGCGATCTTTGGGCGATCTTTGGCGGCCTCTTGGGCCGTCTCCGGCCGTCGGCAGGCCAAAAAGAAGCACAATTCAAAATCCTTCAAAACCTTAGGAACATCAATGTTTGTGGCCTTTCCTGGCCCTCCTGGAGGCCCTCTTGGAGGCCTCTTGGGCCGTCTTGGGCTAGCTTCGAGCCAACTTCAGCCATCTTGGTGGGTTGCTGGCCCGTCTGACGCCGTCGGGGGCCGTCTTGGGGGCCTCTCTGAGCCGACTTGGGGTCCTCTTGGGGCGCTTCGGGGCCGTCATGGAGGCCATCTTGGGCGTCTTGGAGGTCTCTTGGGCCGTCTTGGGGCTCTCTTGGGGCCGTCTTGGGGGCCTCTTGGGCCGTCATGGGGTTCTCTTGGAGGCCTCTTGGGCGATCTTGGGGCGATCTTGGCGGCCTCTTGGGCAGTCTTGAGCCGTCGGAAGGCCGAAAGGAAGCAACTGCCACACTCCTTCAAACACCAAAGGAAACAATGACGTTGGCCTCTTCGGACCCTTCTGGAGGGCCTCTTGGAGGCTTCTTGGGCCGTCTTGGAGGCCTCTTGGGGGCCTCTTGGGCCATCTTAGGCCATCTTGAGATCTCAGGCCGTCTTGGGTGCATCTTGGGCCGTGTTGGAGGCATCTTGGGGCCATCTTAGCCGTCTTGGAGGCCATTGGAGGGTTCGTGGGCCGTCTTGGGGGCCTCTTGGGCCGTCATGGGGCCATCTTGGAGGCCTCGTGGGCGATCTTGGGGCGATCGTGGGGCCTCTTGGGCCAGCTTGAGCCGTCGGAAGGCCGAAAAGAAGCAAATGCCAAAATCCCCCCCCCCAAAAAACTAGGAACATCAATGAGTTTGGCCTCTTCGGGCCCTCCTGAAGGACCGCTTGGAGGCCTCTTTGCCTATCTTGGAGGCCTCTTGGGAGCCACTTGGTCCGTCTTGGGCCATCTTGAGGCCATCTGATGCCGTCTTGGGTGCGGTGCATCTTGGGCCGTCTTGGAGGTATCTTTGGGCCATGTTAGCCGTCTTGGAGGCCATTGTGGGCCTTCTTGGAGCCGTCTAGAGCAGGAACAACTTTTTGGAGCCGGGACTGGGCAATCCTTCCGGGACCCCGGCGGGACGGGCCGAAGCCCCAGGGGGAGCTCTTTTGGAAAAGAGCCAACACGAAAAGCAATAGGATTTGGCACGCCAGGCACCCCTCTTGCAAGAAACAGGGGGCGGCGGATCGAAGACGCCTACGGCGAATCACCGCCGCCCCCTGCCTTTTTGGAAGCGCCTATGTAGCCGAACGTTGAGGCCGGACCTGCCAAGCTATCGGACCATGTGTTCCCCGAATCGGTTTGGGAAGCCTTCGGGGAATACGTGGGCATCTTGTAGGTCATCTTGGCCGTTTGGAGGCCATTTTGACCCTTTCGGGCCTTCTTGAAGGACGTCTTGGGCTCTTGGGCCGTCTCGGAGGCCATCTTGAGCGTCTTGGAGGCCTCTTGGGCCGTCTTGGGGGCCTCTTGGGGCCGTCTTGGGCGATCTTTGGGGACACTTGGGCCGTCTCGGGTAGTCGGAAGGCCGAAAAGAAGTAAATGTCACAATCCTTCAAAAACCCATGGGAAACCAATGATTTTTCAAAACCATCCTGTGGTGTCGGGCCCTCGTTTTGAAGAGACGGTGCCCCGCGTCTCCTTCTCCTCCCGCTGCCCCCTCCCCCCTCCCCCTCCATGACATCATGGCGCAGTTGCATGCGTCCCCCCATCCAGGACAGCGTTTCGTGGCCCCATGGGGAACTCCACCGAACGTCCCAGTGGCGCAGGTTGCATGCGACCCCCCCCCACCCAGGACAGCGTTTCTTGGCCCATAGTGAGTACCACCGAATGCGATACTCACAACGACGGTATTCACAACTGCATATGGCTGGGTCCTTCGCCAGGCTAATTGCCTTTTCGGGCCTTCCTGGGGGCCCTCTTGGAGGCCTCTTAGGCCATCTTCGGCCGTCTTGGTGGGCTCCTGGCACGTTTGACGCCGTCGGGAGCCGTCTTGGGGGCCTCTCTGGGCCGACTTGGGGCCCTCTTGTGGCGCTTCGGGGCCGTCTTAGAGGTCATCTTGGGCGTCTTGGAGGCCTCTTGGCCCGTCTTGGGGCTCTCTTGGTGCCGTCTTGGGTTTTTTTTGGGCCGTCATGGGGCCATCTTGGAGGCCTCTTGGGCGATCTTGGGGCGACCATGGGGGCCTCTTGGGCAGTCTTGGGCCGACGGAACGCCGAAAAGGCGCAAATACCAAAATCCTTGAAACACCTATAGAAAATCAATGATGTTTGCCTCCTCGGGCCTTCCTGGAGGACCTCTTGGAGGCCTCTTGGGCCGTCTTGGGTGCATATTGGGCCGTCTTGGAGGCGTCCTGGGGCCATCTTAGCCGTCTTGGAGGCCATCTTGGCCGTCTTGGAGGCATCTTGGAGGCCATCTTGGCCGTCTTGGAGGCCATGTTGGGCGTCTTCGATGCCTCTTGGGCCGTCTTGGGGCCGTCTTCAGGGGCCTCTTGGGCTGTCATGGGGCCATCTTGGGGGCCTCTTGGCCGATCTTGGGCGACCTTGGGGGCCTCTTGGGCCGTCTTGGGCCGTCGGAAAGCCGAAAGGCGCAAATGCCAAAATTCTTCAAAAACCTATGGCAAATCAATGATGTTCGCCTCTTCAGGCCTTCCTGGAGGACCTGTTGGAGGCCTCTTGGGCCGTCTTGGAGGCCTCTTGGGGGCCTCTTGGGCCATCTTCGGGCTATCTCAGGCCGTCTAGGGTACATCTCGGGCCGTCTTGGAGGCATCTTGGATCTGAGCCGTCTTGGAGGCCATCTTGGCCGTCTTGGTGGCATCTTGGCCGTCTTGGAGGCCATCTTGGGGCCGTCTGGGGCAGGAAAACCGTTTGCAACCACCTCTTCCGGGTGGCCGGCGGGTCGGGCCGAAGCCCCAGGGGGAGTTCTTTTGGAAAACCTGAGCACAGGTCGAAGAGATCGTCGGCCACGGCTGGCGAGGCCTGTCATCTTGGGCGCCCGCCTGGCCTCCAAGTCCAACTCCTCCTCCATCGCGTCCTGTTGCTCCTCTCCCCCGCCCATCTTGACACGCCTTGTCACCCCCGGCAAGCAGGGGCCAGCGGATCACGATGAGGAAGAAGCGCCCGCCCATGGCATCAGTCGAGGAGGACTTGCCGCCCTCGCGCGCGGGTGCCAGCCAAGGTCCGGCACAGAGGCCATCGGGGGTTGGGGGGGCGATGAGTTGAGGGGACGAAGAAATGTTCTGGGCCTCCCAGCTGGGGTCGGATTAGATTTAAGTCGGGCATGTCCCTCTACATGAGGAGTATTCAAAAATGATAAAGAAGGTAGTATGGGGACGATTGTTCTATCATGATTTGATTATTTCCGAATGTTGTTGACTACCTCTTGTTTTTCGCCCACAATCCGCCTGTGGGGGGACATGCCCGACCTAAGATTAGATGGGGCCGGAGGATCGCGCCTTATCGCCGATGCATCGGCTCTGCGTCTCGATGTCGAGCCCGGCTTCTCTCCGTGCCGACTGCGTGGGTGCACCGCCGACGTGCCGCCGATGCCTCGGCGGTGCGGCGCAATCCTTCGGCCCCATCGACGCGGACCCCATAATAGGAGGCCTCTGCAGGTGCGTCAGTCGTGCCCGACGGGGGCTCCAAAAGGGAAACGACATGCGCTACTACTACTACTACTACTACTACTACTACTACTACTACTACTACTACTACTACTACTCCTACTCCTACTCCTACTCCTACTCCTACTCCTACTCCTACTCCTACTCCTACTCCTACTCTACTCCTACTCCTACTCCTGCTGCTCTGCTACTACTACTACTACTACTACTACTACTACTACTACTACTACTACTACTACTACTACTACTACTACTACTACTACTACTACTACTACTACTACTACTACTACTACTACTACTACTACTACTACTACTACTACCCCCCAAAACTTGAGCGACGGATGAAAACGGTGCCGTTTGCACCGACGTTGGCGCCTGAGCTGGCCGCGCAAGGTTGCGCGTAAGTGCCCTCGTCTCCAATGCAGCGTGCCGCGATGGCGTCCCGCGCAAGTTGCCGCGAAATGTCGCTATGCCGTCACGCGTAAGGCCCACTCCCAGGCATGCGACGTCCTGATTTTTTCAACACGGGGTCCCTGGAAGTCACGACCCATCCCCTAGCACCGGCTTTTCATCCCGAGCCGTTCTTTGACAGCCCCGAGGCCCGGCGAGGGCCGCCATAGAGGCCGAAAAGTTCCTCTGCGTTGGATCTCTGGGTTCAACGCCCCCCCCCCACCGCGGCGAAGAGAACTATGCACATGCACCGATCCTGGCAAGGCCCATCCTTGACCCAGGATCGGTGCATAGGCCTTCCTGGCCAAGGTAGGAGGGCGTATGCACCGATCCTGGGCTCAGCATGTCAGAGCGTGAGTTACCTACCCCGCTTTCGCTTCCAGGCAGAACCAAGCCATACCACGCGCCTCCTCGTCAAGCGGCCTGACCAGTACAGGCCGCAGTTTGGCATCGCTTGGTATCTCTTGGAAGCGAGGGTGGTCAAAAGCGAGGGGTTTGTTTGCCCCCTAGGATGGGCCTGGCCAGACTCGGCGTATGTGCATAGATCTTTCGCTCCTTACCGCCAGCAGGCAGCGCCCAGGGCCCGAGATGCGGGGCGAGGGACGCCCCGCGGGGCCGTCGGGCGCGTGGCGCCCGCACGGCATCGGGCACGCCGGGAGGCCGCGGCCCTGGTGGGAGGACCTGGAGGCGCAGGCGCGGCCGCGCGCGGCAAGAGAGGGGGCCTCAGAGCCCCGAATCATCAGGGGTAACTCGGGTCAGGGCTAACTCGGGTTCGTTTTTCGGGGATCCGAACCCGAGTTACCCCGGACCCGAGTTACCCCGGATAACTCGGGCGTCCAGGGCCCCGAACCATCAGGGGTAACTCGGGTCAGGGCTAACTCGGGTGCGTTTTTCGGGAATCCGAACCCGAGTTACCCCGGACCCGAGTTACCCCGGATAACTCGGGCGCCCAGGGGCCCTCGCGCAGGGGCAACGTCAGTCTCGGGCCTGCGCCTCTACAGGGGGGATGTTCAGAAATAGGCAAAAAATAGTCTTTGGGACTATGTCTTGAGCAATGGTGGACCATTTTGGAACAGTTTTCAGTATTGTAAATTTTTGGTCGAAAATCCCCTTGTAGTTCAGGAGGGAACAGAAACCACACAGACACAAGTAATCGTCGAGCCCCCAGAATATATATATATATATATATATATATATATATATGGGAAAATAAGGGAGTTGGGGGGAAAACAAGAACCCAGAAAATATGGGGAGATATGGGGAGTCGTTTTGTGTGGGTGTGTATTTACTTGTGTGTCCCAGGGCCCCTTCAAGAGTGGGCCCTCGCGCAGGGGCAACGTTAGTCTAGGCCTCCTGGACGGGGTCCGAGTAGACGGGGTCGGAGGAGCGCCGATGCATCGCCGACGTCGCCAGTGCATGGCCGATGCATCGCCGATGCATCGGCGATGGATCACCGATGTATCGACAATGCGGCGCTATCCTCCGACCCCGTCTACTCGGACCCCATCTAGGAGGCCTCCAAACGTCGGGGGGGGGATAGGCCCAGGGGGGAGGAAGCTTCGAGGTTCAATGCCGTGAGGTCCTCGGGCGTTCTCGTCGGGTCTCAGCGGGTCTCCAGCCTCGGGGTGCGTTCCCCGCGACTGCGCCTCGCCGAGAGCGTTCCCCGGGGGGCCCCGGATCGTCCACAACGGCCGCCAGAGGTCAGAGCCCCGAATCATCAGGGGTAACTCGGGTCAGGGCTAACTCGGGTTTCTTTTTCGGGAATCCAAACCCGAGTTACCCCGGACCCGAGTTACCCCGGATAACTCGGGCGCCCAAAGAGGGCCGCGCTGCGACCCGAAGGCCACCAGGGGGGCAGGCTCAGCGGGGGGCGCAGCGATCCGCAGTCGCCCACAGGTCGCCTCCCGGGGGGCCCGATGGCATCGCCCGCCCAGGATCGTGCGGGCTCGCTTTCGACGGCCCACCGCCGATCTACTGGCGATGTAATGTATCGCCGATTCCAGCTTTGTGGTTCTCTTACTCACCACCCACCAAACCACCCCAACCCAACCCGAAGGCTCAGATTTACCCTCGATTTCCAGTGAGGGGTGGGTCGGGAAACATCGAATAAAAACACATGTGGAACCCTTACCCCCCCCCAACCCGAAATTCGGGTCTTCGGGTTGGGTTGGGGTGGTCTGGTAGGTAGCCACTTACTGTGCTGCACCCCCCCCCTGTCTCAGGCGATCGCAAACATGGATCAAGGGGGCGTGGACTGGCGACGGGTCTCGCTTCCACGGGGCATCGCGACTTTCCGCCGCCGAGCGAGGCGGCACCGGCCGCATCTTGGGGAGGGCACCTCCCCCGATCCATGGATCTGGCGACCGCGCGCCAAATCCATGGATCGCGAATCCATGTTTGCTCCCCCTCCGACTCCAGGTCTCTTGCCTGGGGCCCGAGTAGATGGGCTCGGCGGATCGCGCCGCATCGCCGATGCACCGCCGATGCGGCTCGATGTGGAGCCCGTGGTTCCCCACGCCGACGTCGCCGATGCATCACCAATGTCGCCAACGCGCAGGAGGGAACGAAACACACAGACACAATTTATCGTCGATTCCCAGGAAACTATGCAGAAATCTGGGAAGTGGGGGGTGAGACAGAGAAACCCAGAACATATGGGAAAATAGGGGAATCCTGCTATTTGTGTGTACTTAGTTGTGTGTCCCAGGGCACCTACCAAAGAGTGTTCTGAGAACCTTTTGTGGCTTTCGCGAAGTATTCTTAGCACATTTTTGGCTGGGACTGTCTTGTTTCAACGCATCGGGTTTATGTTCTAAAAACATTGTTTTTGTTATCAGAATATGTTTGGGGTTCTGATAAGAACATTTCGTGGTAGGGCTATAGGAATGCCGGGACGGTCGGTCCCTGCTCAAACGCCACGAGATCGGCAGAAGCCGCGCGGCACGGGCCACTCCTGCCGCCTGCGGGTGAAGTCGGGCACGCGCCTCTACAGGAGGAGGATTCCAAACCAGTCCCAAGAGAATCGTCAGGGGACGATTTGCCCACCATTTTTTTGTCACTGTTTAGGATTATTTGTTTTTTTTCTTCCGGGATGATTTGGGGTTGTTTATTATGCAACATCCGCCTGCAGGGGGACATGCCCGACCTCAGCCTGCGGGCCCCTCCCTGCGTGCCGCCCGGAGGCGTCCACCCCCGTGCCGCGAGGGCCCGTGGTCGAGCAGCTCCCGCCGCCCACGGGGGAGGTGGACGACGACTACGCGGAGGAGGGCGAGCCGCCTCCGGGGGCGGCGGAGGACGACCCCGCCGAGGACGGCGGGCCACCACGAAAAAGAGCGAAGGATTGCAATCCTTCGTTTTTGTTGCAATCCTTCGTTTTTTTGTTTTGCAATCCTTTGTTTTTTTGCAATCCTTCGTTTTTGTTGCAATCCTTGGTTTTTTGTGCAATCGTTCGTTTTTTTTTTCAATCCGTGGGTTTTTTGCAATCCTTCGAGGACGGGGGGCCACCACGAAAAAGAGGGCGGCACGGGGCCCCGCCGACGCCCTCGCGCCGTGGAGCGGGGCACGGCGACGGCTGCGGCACGGCCCGCTCCTCCGCCTGCAGAGAGGGGGGCCCTTTGCCAGGCAGCCGGGCCCTCCCAGAGAGGGCTCGGGGGCAAGGGCTCCCTCGAGGGCGCGAAGTTATTCGCGCTTCGCGCTTCGCGGTCCTCGTTCCTTCTCCCCCTCCTCCTCGTCCTCCTATTCTCCTTCTGGGAGGGCGGCGCGAGAGCGCGAAGTTATTCGCGCTTCGCGCTTCGCGCAGCGCGAAGCGCGAAGTTGGGAGCCCTAGCGGGGGGCGCCAGGCCGCCTGCCCAGGGGGCAGGGGCGGGCGCGCCGCGTCGCCGATGCGGTCGCCGAGGCGGCTCGATGTGGGGCCCGAGTTGCCTCACGCCGACGTCGCCGATGCGTCGCCCACGTCGACGGAGGCATCGCCGATGCCTCGCCGATGCCTCGGCGAGGCATCGGCGAGGCGGCGCGATCGTGCGGACCCCCTCCACTCCGAGACCCCATCTGGGAGGCCTCCAAGAAGACGGCGGCACGCGGAAGCCGCCTGGCTCTGCTCGAGGCGTTGGAGGCCGGGGTGACGTTCGGACGTCCACGGATTGGGCGTCGCTCGGGCGTGCGTACTGTTGCTTTTCTCGTCGAGGAAAATCGAGGAGCATCTTGGGCCACCCTGCGAGGAACGCGTGGCTCATTTCTAATTCTTCGAACGTCCCTTGACTGTTTTGAGGCCCAGATCCTTTCATGCCTAATTGCTCCATCCTGGGCCTCTTCCTGGCCACGAGGAGGCCAGGAACACTTAGAGAAACGAGCACGACGAAGCTAAGCTGAAGCTAAGCTAAGCTGGGTGAACCCAGGGGGCGCAACTGGGGGAACCGCGGGGCGGGGACTGGGGGAACCGCCCGGGGCGATTTCCATTGCCCGGCCCCTTTAAGCTAAGAGAGTAAGAACCCTTCTAGGCAGAGCCTAGGTAGGGAAAAACGAGCACAACGAGAAACGAGCGCGACAAAGAAATGCACGACGTGTGCGCGCACGAAGCCGAGAGGCACAGGGGGGAGTGGGCGTCCGAGAGCCGGCGAGCGGGCGGTCTCTCTCTCCGCGGGCGACGGGCCCGGGCTCCCCCCGCTGCCGCCCCTCCCGACAGCTCCACCGATGCCGCGCGGAGGCACCGAGGGCGCCGCCCACAGACGTGCCACCTCCTCCCTTCTCCTCCTCCTCCTCCTCCTCCTCCTCCTCCTCCTCCTCCTCCTCCCCCTTCTCCTCCTCCTCCTCCTCCTCCTCCTCCTCCTCCTCCTTCTCCTCCTCCTCCTCCCCCTCCTCCCCCTCCCCCTCCTCCTCCTCCTCCTCCCCCTCCTCCTCCTTGAACTTTTTTGTTCCTCCTCCTCCTCCTCCTCCTCCTCCTCCTCCTCCTCCTCCGCCTCCAGGCCTCCAAGACGGAGCCCGAGCGGGTGGGATTTCGGAGCCCCCGCGGCGTCATCGGTGTTGGGGGTGGCCAGGGGGTAGCTCCCGATCCGTGCCTGAGATCGAATGCAAACTTGATTTACGCCAGAATGAATTTCCTCTTCGAGATCAACGGAGCAGTATGCATGTGTTTTTTTTCGCAGGAGTGGACGAGACAAGCAATTGAGCTACGCAAGGATGGGGGGTCGTCTGCGCAGACATTCGCGCGCAAGCTGCTCGCGTAAGGTCGCGCGTAAGCGCCCTCGTCTACAACGTAGCGTGCCGCGCTGGCTGCCAGCGTAAGTTGCGGCGTAAGGTCGCTGTGTCATCGCGCGTAAGGCCCGCTCCCAGACATGCGACGTCTTGATCTTTTCGATACGGGGTCACTGGAAGTCCCGACCCTTTCCCCAGGACCGGCTTTTCATCCTGAGTCGTCTTGTCGACGGTCCCGAGGCCCGGCGAGGGCCCCCGGCGAGGGCCGAAGATTGTCGAAAACCTCCCGTTCTGAATTTTTCCACGACGCGATCATTTCTGGGCTTCTGTTCGTCGATCACTTTTGCAGGTCCAGGCAGGAACGGGCGGCCCGCGTAAGCTGCGGCGTAAGGTCGCTGTGCCATCTCTCGCAAGACCCCGTCGCCTGCGCGCCGCGGCCAGGCGCCGCTGCCGCGGCCGCGCCTGCCCTGCGGAGCTCCACCTGACGCCACGGCGGGGGCCCTCATCCTGGACTCCTCCTCCTCCTCCTCCTCCTCCTCCTCCTCCTCCTCCTCCTCCTCCCCCTCCTCCATATGAATGGCTCCTCCTCCTCCTCCTTCTCCTCCTCCTCCTCCTCCTCCTCCTTCTCATCGTCGCTCTATTTGGGAGGTTGTTTTCCTGTCCTGGGTTGCTTCTGCCTTCAACCTCCTGGCTTAGGGCCGTCGCCCCCTTCTGCGGCTCCGGGCGGGCACCCCGGGCCGGAGCGAAGTGCTCCCGGACAGCTCTCGGGCGTCCCAGGGCCGGGGGGCGATCGGCGCGCCAGCGGAGGAGCTGCGCGCCGACGTCCGCCCAGAGGGCACTCGGCGGCGAGCCCGACGACGACGAGCCCGACGACGACGATGATGGCGACGACGACAGCGACAGCGAGGGCAGAGGAGGGGGGGCGGAAGGGGCGGGCACACACGCAGGCGCACAGACACACAGACACTCAGACATACACACACACAGCCACACAGACACACACACACACATACATATAAGATTCATATATGTGCATCTGTTCGTCGGCGGAGGGGCAGAGGTTGGCTGCATCAGCGACGAGAGCTAGACGGGGGCACCGAGAAGCGAATTGGCCCGCGTGCACGAGTGGAAAAGAGGGCAGAGCAGGCGGCCGCGGGGGAGGACGCCGGGGGGGCGGGGAAGGACAGGCCACTCAGAGGTGGACGAGCTCGCACCCCAGACCCCCTCGAGTAATGAAAAAATCATGACGGGAGGTTTTTCGCTATTTTCGGCCCCTGGGGGCCCCCACCGGGCCTCGGGAGCGTCAAAAAACGACTCAGGATGCAAAGCCGGTCATGGGGAAAAGGTCAGGACCTCTGGGGGTCGACGTAATGAAAAAATCATTACGTCGGGGGTCTGGGACCCGAGAGTGCTGGCGCGGCCAGCCCTGTCGGCGAGAACCATGGCAGCTGCCGGGCCGCTGCGCCTGGGCACCCGGGCGCAGGCGGTGCCCAGTGCGGGTAAGGCACACACACACATGCACACACACACACACACACGAACACACTCTCACAAAACGGCGGCGAGCCCAGGGGGGAAGTGCGAGGGAGAAGGTCTCCTCAGACCGAGAGGGAGAAGGCCTTCTCAGGGGCTAGGAAGATCCCCAGCCTTCTGAGAATCGGGGGCGGCGAAGAGGGGGGTGATGACCAGGGGGGGTTTGGATGTCATGGCGGGGGCAATGATCTCGCCCCAGAGTCGATGGCGCCTCTCCTTATTTCTATACGTCCCTGCCGCCCCCCCCCCCTGGGCCGCGCACATGCCGCCAGCCATGATTTGCGGCCCCCCCTCTTGGACGCCCCCCTCTTTCGACACCCCGGAGGGAAGTCTTCTGAGACTGCCCCGAAGACATAGAAAACCTCTCAGAATGCCAGTGGGCGTTTGAGAAGTTCCGCCGCCTTCTGAGAAGGCCTTCTCTTTATTACTTCCCTCCTCGCTCGCCGCCGAGTCACGTGAGCGACTCAGAAGAATGGAGTGGTCTTCACCGACGTTGGCTCGTAAGCGTCCCGCCTGGGTCGCGCGCAAGCGCCCTCGTTCCCGGTGTGGCGTGCCGCTCTGGCGGCCCGCGCGAGCCGCGGCGTGAGGCTATGCCACCGTGCATACGACCCGCTTCTGCTCGTTGCGCACACGCCCGGGCCAGAGCCCTGTGGGTGTGATCTGTCTGTGGCATCTTCCAAGCTGGGCCGATCCATGCTGGCCCCCAGGTTCGACGCCTGGCGGAAACGCCCGGCATAAAAGAAACTGCAACGCCCAGATCTCGGGGCTGCCCGGCCCTCCGAGGGCGGAGGCGCAATGCCGACGTCGTCGATGCATCGGCGATGCGGCGCGATCCTCCATCCCCGTCTGATCGGACCCCCTTATGGGAGGCCTCCAGTCCTTGAGTAGATGATCGACTACAGAACTGATTTGCCCTAGAATTGAAGTTGCTGTCAGATCTGAGAGAAACGCGTCGGATGTCTGCTGATCTACGACCACTCGGCGTACTTCCTCGCAGACCCGACGAACGAATCCATCCTGACGTAGGAAGAATTCAAGTCTGCACCCGGTCCCCAACTCGAGCCCTGATGGTCCGCTACCGAAAATTTCCGGTAGCGCTCCGCAGAGATCGGTCGCTACCGAAATACCGAAATGTAGCGCCCAATACCGGTATCAGACCGATCTGAAATCCGCTATTTCAACGCCCTCAAACGAAGATCCGGTCGCCACCGAAATTCGGGGTGCGTCGAAATCGCTACCAAAAATTTCCGATACCAGACGATCTGGGAGCTCCCTGGCCCTCCGAGGACGGCGGCGCGGGCGGGGCGGAGGCCGAGGGCGACGGGGCCGAGGGCGCCGGGGCCGAGGCCAGCCAGGGTCAAGTCGGACGGACACGTCCCTCTACAGGAGGAATATTCAAAAACAGTACAACAAATATCGTCCTCCTCCTCCTCCTCCTCCTTCAAAATAGTCCAGGGGCGCACGTTTGCTTATTGTTGCTTTTTTGTGAATATTTGCTTTGACTGTCCGTTATTCCCAACCATCCTGCGGTGGTTGGGTCCTCGTTTTGAAGACACGGTCCCCGCGTTCCCTCCCTCCTTCCTTC